CCCTCCCTCCCTCCCTCCCTCCCTCCCCTCCCCCCCCCCCCCTCCCCCCTCCTCCCTCCGCCCCCCCCCCCCCCACCCCCACCCACCCACCCTCGCTCTCCTCCTCTCCTCTCTCTCTCTCCTCCTCTCTCCCTCTCTCCCCCCTTTTTCCTCTCCCTCCCCTCCCTCCCTCCCTCCCTCCCCTCTCTCTCTCTTTCTCTCTGCTCTCCTCGCTTATTTTCATGCTCATTTCTTTTCACGCCTGTCCTGTCCCTCATCTCCTCCTCTTCTCACTGCTGCGCTTCCTGGGCTGTAAGCTAACAAGAGAGGTAGGCGGCATCGAAGAAGCTCGGCAGAGGAGCCGTCATTCACACCACCATGGGCGACATCACCATCAAGCTTTTCCCCGAGGAGTGCCCGAAGACGGTTCTCCCTGCCCTCCCAATCCTCTCCCCCTTCCTCTCTCCTTTTCCCCCCCTCGTTTCTCTCTCCTCTTCCTTCTTTCCCTTGTCTTCGCCCCACTCGCTCCTCCTTCTCTCCCTCCTACTCATACGCTGCAGGTCGAAAACTTCTGCACGCACGCCAAGAACGGATACTACAACGGCGTGATCTTCCACCGCGTCATCAAGTCCTTCATGCTCCAGACGGGCGACCCGCTCGGAGATGGGACAGGTTTGACAGCTGGAGGAGGAGGAAGAGATGGAGGAGGAAGAGGAGGAGGAGGAGGAGGAGGAGGAAGGGGGTTGAGGGTGGGGGGAAGAGGAGAAGAGATGGAAAGATGAGAGGTGGGAAATAAGAAGGTCGTTTGAGAAGTGTGAGAGACAAGATGGATTCTGAAAGAGGATTTGCAACTGCATGAGGAGGATGAGAATTCGGTCTGGGAGGAGATGATGTGAGTCATGTAGGCGGAACTTCTATCTGGGGAACTGAGTTCGAAGATGAGTTTCACCGCTCGCTGCGCCATGACAGGTTTTTCTCCTGCTGCTGCTGCTGCTGCTGCTGCTGCTGCTGCCCTGCTCCTGCTCCTTCTCCTGCTCCTGCTCCTGCTCCTGCTCCTGCTCCTGCTCCTGCTCCTGCTCCTGCTCCTGCTCCTGCTGCTGCTCCTGCTCCTGTTTTCCTCACTTTTTCTCCTCCTTTCACCTCCCCGTCCTTCCTTCGTTTCTTCTCCTCACTACTTTCAGGCCCTTCACCGTCTCCATGGCCAACGCTGGGCCGAACACCAACGGCTCTCAATTCTTTATCACCTCTGTCCCCACCCCCTGGCTGGATAACAAGGTTTCCCCCTCACCCCATCTCCTGCTCCTGCTCCTGCTACTCTTCCTCCCTCTCTTCCTGCAACTCCACATGTCCTTCCTCCTCCTGCATCTCCTCATTGTCATCATTCACGATCTCATAAGTTGCTTATCTTGTCGCGCAGCACACAGTCTTTGGGAGGTGCGTCAAGGGCATGGACGTTGTGCAGGTACTGTGCAGGGATCCAAGAACTAAGAGGAAGAGGGCGTTGAAGGGAGGAGGGGGAGTGTGGTGGAGGGAGGGAGGAGTACAGAGGATGGAGGAAGAGGGAGGATGCGGCAGGAAGAGGAGAAGGCTTGCGTGATGTGTCGCAGGCCATCGAGAACGTTCGGACCAACAAGGAGGACAAGCCCTGGGAGGACATCAGCATCGTCAGCATCCGCGTGCTGGACCAGACGCCTTCAGCCAAGTAGACCATCCAGTCAAGCAAGACGAGGAAGGGGAGGAAGACGAGGAGGGGGGGAAGAGGAGGGGAAGAGAGAGGGAGGGAGGACAATGATTTCTTTACATGCTTCATTCAACTTCTCTTGTCCTAGTTTACATTCCTCCTCCTTCACTCCACCACGTACGTCTGGAACTTGCTCTTGACCTTGTGCTCTCCTCTCTTCACCTCCCACTTGATCAGAACCTCCAGAGCCCGAGGGTTCTTCGAGTGCCGCTTGCAGTGCAGTTCTCCTGCCACTATATCCCCCTGCTGTACCTCCAGCTCCTCGTCCAGGTAGAAGCTCGTCTGCTTCCAGTGCGTTTGCTCCTCCATCCTCTCCTGTGGCCCCGTCGTGAAGCTGACCACCTGGTCACATCCCCCCGCAAACTCGATGTCAAAGTAGGTAAGCAGCGCGTCCAGCTTGGCGCTCCTGGTGACCTCTAACCGGAACTCGCCCACGAACTCTAGATCCTTGACCTGACACGGGGTTACGAGGAGGCAGATGCCGAGGAAGGGAGGGAGGGAGAGGAAGGTAGGGAGGGAGAGGAGGAGAGGAGGAGGAGGAGGAGGAGGAGGAGGAGGAGGGAGAAGAAGGGAGGGAGGGAGAAGAAGGGAGGAGGGAATAGCAAGGAGCGAGATCAGAGCCATGGAAGTACAAAGATGCAATCAGAGAAGCTCTCAGTTGAATCCGCTAATAAGGTTCATCCTATCTCGCTCCAGCCGGTGAGGGAAGGAAGAGGAGGAGGAGGAGGAGAACAATACTTTACCTCAACAACGTTGCAATCGAACTTGTTGATGACTGAGGTTGATGATATCACTTGAGACTCTGCGAAAGTCGAATCAGATCAATGGTCACAAAGCCCACCCATCAACCCCTTCCCCTCCTCCCTGCCGTCCCTCCTCTTCTCCTTACCCTTGTAGAAGTCGACTGTCCCCTCCGTGCTCAGCGATCTTCTCAGCTTCTCTTTCATTCGCTTCCTGCGAGCAAGTCAGAAGCTCCTTCGCCCCAAACTTGTCGCCCTCACATGTCAAACCCGTAAACGTCATCCCAGAAGCTCAACCGCTGCAGGTAGCCATCAGACTTGTCAAACTCCTCCTTCCTTCGCTTCCCTTCCCCCCCCCCCCTCCTTATATCCCTTCACTCTCCTTACCCTCCTCCTCCTCCAATACCAACCTCGCTATCCTCGATCGCTGTGATGTGCATGCTGCACTTGTCGGGCATGCATGCTCCCCCCGGACGTAGGAATCTCTTCCTCGCCTCGATCACCTTGCAGGCTTGTCAGGTTGGCAGCGGAGGAGGAGGAGGAGGAGGAGGAGGAGGAGGAGGAGGAGGAGGAGGAGGAGGAGGAGGAGGAGGAGGAGGAGGAGGAGGAGGAGGAGGAGGAGGAGGAGGAGGAGGAGGAGGAGGCATACCGAATCAAGCATGCTCTCGTAGAGCAGGAAGTAGCCCATCCACTCCGACACTATCAGATCAACCTTCTCCACCTTAGAGGACGTCAGACTCGACGGCAGCTGTGAAGAAGGACGCGGACACGAAAGCGGAAGGGGCGTAGGTAAAAAAATGTGCCGATGCTTACGTGCTGCACATGACAAGGGAAAGTCGAGCACAGCATAGCGACAGCATCAAACGAATCGTTCCCTCTCGCTCTTGCATCATCGATTGAACAACTGGTCCACAAGATCGACCAGAGCTTCAGTATGAGATGCGAGAATGTTATCATCATCATCATCATCATCATCATCATCATCAACAAAAACAACATTAACAACAACATTAACAACAACAACAACTTTGCTGATTGCATCATGAGCTCAATGAAGAAAGACACAAAGAAAATATGAGACAAGCAAATACCGGCAGAGTGATTTCCTCCACCTTTCCTCGGATCAGAGTGATTTTCTCCGCCATACCTGCACACAGGCCATCACAACCAATCAACCACAAGGCTGCTGCTGACCGTTCTCCCTCACTATCTCTCGTGCTTCATCAATGATGTCCGACATGTCAATACTGTACACGTGCTTGGCCCCCGCTTGTGCAGCAAACAAGCTCAAAATCCCCGTCCCGCAACCGACATCGAGCACAACTTTATCTTTCACCAGCGAGGGGTTGTTGAGGAGGAAACTCCTGTAGCTCTCCGTTCGCACCCTGTCGCTCAACATCTCATGGTGGATCCCGATCTTAGCGTAGGACTCGAAGTAGTGCTTGTCGATCACTGCCTTCTTCCCTTCCTCGCCCCCCATCTTGCTCCTCGACCTCGCAGCCGCCGGCTCCTCGTCCGAGCTCTCCGATGAGCTCTCCGTACAGGAGTCTTCCTCCAGCAAGGAGCTCTTGGCGGCCTCCAGCAGAGTCTTCTGTCGCTCCAGCTCCTCTTTCAGCAGTTGATTCTCTGCTCGCAATGTCTCCACGACCCCAGCAGCCTCGCCCTCGCCGTCAGCCCCTCCCGCCTCGCCTCCTTCCATCTCCTCCACCTCCTGGCACAACACAGGCAGCAGCGGGTCCTCCTCGAAGTAGGGGAACAGGAGCTCGTCGTCTTGCAAGAACTCCGGCTTCTTGCCTCCCTTGAACGGCTCCCTGAGCAGGTCGACGAGCTGTTGCTTGTCAAGGCTCTCCTTGTTCTTGGCTACTGTCTTCCTTGTCCAGTTGACAAAACGGATGCTCTGGTAGATATCAAACTTCAGGTCCCGCGACAGCTCCTTGAGATCCCAGCCGTACTCGTTCTTGCAGTGCGCCAGGCATTCCTCGACTGACTCATGCACCTTGTCGTGGTCGACTATGTCCCTGGTCTTCATGAACGAGTGCTCCTCCTCCTCGTCTCCCCACTCCCAGTCTTCCTCCCCCTTGAGGTCTCGAGCGTTGTCCTCGTCGCTGTCACTTGACATCTGCAGGCAAGTTAACAAAGAGATCTCAGATTCGATCCCATCTCTCTCGATGTTACCCTCCCTTCACTCAATCGATCTCCTATGATCTCTCTCCATACCAACTCATCCATTCTCTTCCTAACCAGTGTCGCTCCCCCGCCCCCCTTTCTTCCTCCTCCTCCTCCTCCTCCTCCTCCTCTCTCTCTCTCTCTCTCTCACTGGCTTCCTCGTGTCTAAACCTGCACGTGCATATGGAGGACCCTCATCCCCTCTCATCAATCATCCCCCTCATTCTCACATCCTTACGATTCTGAGGCAGGCTTGATATTTAGGCCGTTTTTGAGTGACTTCCCGGCAGTCCAAGTTCCATCTCCACAGAAGGGGTGGGGTGGGAACGGTCCAGGACGGGAAGGGGTTAAATACAGTGTAATTGAAGGGGTCATGGTTGATCCCACCCTGATCAGGACCCGTGG